ATAAATACAGTATGTAATTGTTTTGAAGGAATTATAAGTTTAATTTACGTTTTACGGTTGATAAAGTCATTCTCTCACTTTAGTGTTCTTACAGTCTCTTTCACATTAAAGAGCTACGGAGTTATACATTTATCTGCTCAGATCAGATGTGCTAAAAATTTGAATTGTAATATTTGAGAACAATTGTTTTGAAGGTTTAGAGACATTTATTTGCTCAGATATGCTAAAAATTTGAATCGTAATATTTGAGAACAATTGTTTTGAAGGTTTAGAGTATTTTAAACAGTAGTTCTTACCTTTTACGCTAAATATCATATTATATTAAATACGCAATTTACTAATAGAATTTGACGGTTATGAGATGTTGGCTTATTTAGTAAAATGTGCAACCAAAAGATAAAAATGATGAGATACACACGTATGATATGATGAGAATTAGATGAGCCTCACCACTAATCCATCTCTTTGTAGTTTATTTTACTAAATAAGTCGTCATCTCATATCTAATATTCTTTACTAATTAATAAATTTAACCATCATTTAAACTATATTTTGCGGATTATTAACAAATCCAAGAAAGAAGTATTTGAGATTCTACTCAATTAAAATTTCAGATGTGCAATGTAGTTGAAAGTGGTTTAGTGCGGAAATATGCAAAAATAGTCCAACTAGTAATTTTCTTTTACAACTAAGGGGCCGTTTAGTTTGATAAAAATATCAGAAGTAGGAAATAGATTAAAGAAGTAACTTCTAAATTTATGAAGCAGAAAACAGTGAAAGTAGTAATTTTTTATTTGTTTCATATTTTTTTTTTGTTTAAATAGCAATAAAAAGTTATTAGGAAGTAAGTGATAAACAAGATATTAATAAGAAAAATTATTTATTTCCCAATTAATATGCATTTTACCTACTTCCAAACTATTTCTGAGCATTGAGGGGTGGAAAAATATTTTAAAAGTAAGGATGACACGTATGTGCTTAAGGATGACACACATGTTCCACATCAGCGTTTAAGGAGGTATTAAAAGTAGGTTTTCAAAAAAACAAACATATTTTTATGCTTAGAAGTAACAGAAGTAGCCTCTTCTTCCTCTACTTCAGCTAATTCACAATTACTTACTTCTGTGCAAATAACCAGACCCTCAATATTCCCAGTGAATAATTCATCTCAAATGAGCCCCATGATTGCATACAAATGCACACCGCCGAAAACTTAAGGGCCCACATCCCAAATTCTAATGTAGCAGGGATATAAATGGTAAAAGCCATAAAGACGTTAGTTAATAAACAAATGAACCACGTGAGCAGATCTTGACCAGGCGTGGTTATATGGTAATTAAACGCTAATCAAGAAGGCGGGAACTATAATTAACGAGCTTATTTAAACCGAACCCTAAAGAAGACCCCAATCTAACTCGCAATCTTCAAACGGACCCCACTCGATGATCGGCTAATATTTCCAGGTCTCATCAACGAGTTCCCTGCGTTAGTCTCAGTCTCACTAGTTTCAACAAACAATTATTCTAATTACACGTTAGAGCGGGCCCCCACAATTCCCTATGCTTCTTCTTTCTTTATTATCGTACTCTCTGTTCACTGCTCAAGGAGCAGCTCTAAAAGCTTCTCTCTCTTCTGAGTTCCAGATCTCAAAACCCTAGCCAGTGCGATTCATTTAAGGTTAGATCTCAGTCCTCACATCACGTTTTTCTCTTTCTTGTCACCTGAATCTAGGTCTTTTGTCCTGTTTGCCTTGATTTCTGCTGTTTTTAGCCCATTTTAGTCGAGATCTGAGAAAATTAGGGTTTTGAGGCTAGGACTAGTGTAGTTTCGGGTGGATGTGGGATTGTTTGGTGAAAATGATGGTTTTCTGAGGGTTTAGTTGATGCATTGCGCTGGTGATGCCTTTGATGAGTAGACTGCTCTTGATCTCTGTGGGTTTTTACAGGTTTTGGTGTTTTCTTTGGTGATTCTTGAAATTAAGTTTACTCTGTTTGGTAAAAGTTGGGATTTTGATAGATTTAATTATTGTTTTTGGTCAATTAAAGTTTTCTATGAAAGATAGGTTACAATTTGGTTTACTTTTTAGCTTAGAGTTAAGTTTAGGTTTGCATTGAAGATCCTATAACTGTTCTATATAAAAATCTTGGATTCAGGTGACTTGAGCAACATAGTTAAAATGGTCGCTTAAAATATTAAAGTGTTAGTTGAAATAATAAAGAAAGACAATATTCAAGGGAACAATATACTTTGACTTCTTAGCAACTTGTTTTTCTTTCTATTCTTTTTGTATTCATGTGTATAATTGGTCTATTTTGGCAGTACAGCATTTTCGAGTTAAAACTGGTCATATTTGCAGTTTAAAATGTGTTCTAGATGCGGTTTCTTTTTCTTTCCCGTTTTAATGAAAAAATTGCTTGTGATTATTTGGATTGTACCTGAATATAAATTTTCTGTGAAAAGATGGTCATGGTCTCAAACATCTACCAATGTGATAATTTCCTGGTGATATCTACTAGATTACATGATTAACTTTTTAAGAAGTTGGTGTCAGTTGTCTGGTCTTTGATAAAAGTTCATTTTCACATTGTTGGTTGGGTGGATGTTTATTATTAATCAGTCATTAGTGTTAGTTGTGCATGTGAACTTTAGCATATTTTCTTAATTGTGGTGGTTTTATTTGAATGTTGATTACCACACACTTTAATTCTCTGTGGAGCAGTGTGAATGGCCACACAAAAGGAAAAGAGGGAATGACCTTGACAATTTGGCATGTCGTTTCTGTATAATTGGGGGCACCGACTTCATTGTTGCTGACATTTGTTTGAAGACGATTAACCTTCTAATTTCTTTGAAATCCCAACGTGAATTTGTTATTTATTTTTATGAGGAAATTTTTTATTACCTTGACTAAGTGACTGGGATATGTCTGGTTCAAGGACACACAATAGCTGATATATGGGTACCCATCTGAATGATTGATTGTACTGTCCTGGTTGTTTCTTTACCAACTTTCTTTTTGACTTGAATAATTGAATTGATTTATCATCATAGTCCCGATATAAAAGTGCTCAAATGTTAGGTATAACAGCCTTTAAAAAATTAAGATCATAATCAAAGGATAATCATCATACAGAAGTTAAATTTGACAATATATGCAATTGTCAGCATTCATTTTGTTGTCTAGCGTATAGATAGGTTCTCCTTTATTGTGCTAGATATTTGTTTTAAAATGACTAATTTTCTATGATTTGAGTTTACAACATAGTTCTGTGCACCGGTTAGGAAAAGTGATAGTATTATAGTTAATGGGGTTAGAAGATCTAGAGGTAGACCTAAACGAACTTGGTTGGAAGCAATGAAAAAGATTATGATTATGATTAACTTAACAGAGGAGATGTCCCATAATAGAATGCAATGGAAGAATATGATTCATGTAGCCGACCCCAAACATTTGGGATAAAGGCTTGGGTAAAGGCTTTGATGTGTTGTTGTTGTCATTGGGAATTTTTTTTGTTGCTCTTTTACCTAAGTGATTGCAGGGTTTCTGGTTTAGGCACATAATAGTTGGTATTTAGGTACCTTCTGAATTATGAAGTTCAGTGTGGTCCTGGTGTTCTTGTGGTTCGTGTTAACTAGCTTTCTTTTTCAGTTAGAAAGTTGGATTGGAAACTTGTAAACTCTGAGCAGTCACCTGACATATAACTAGTCCAATTTCATATCTTTGTGCAACTAGAAAACATTCATTAATAGTCCTCTTTGTCTTGCAGGTTGCATTGAGCTCTAAATGGCTGTCACAGAAACAAAGGATTCATTAGCTGGTGAACCTACCTGTGGTTCTTTACTGCAGCAATTGCAGGTATTAAGTTTAAATATATGTTGTGCATTCAATATTCGAAGCAATCAGTAATATTTACAGGTGTCATTTTATTCAGGTAATATGGGACGAGGTTGGTGAGAGTGATGAGGAACGTGATAAAATGCTACTACAACTTGAGCAAGAATGTTTGGATGTTTATAGGAGGAAAGTAGATCAGGCTTCAAAGTCAAGGGTGCAACTTCTCCAGGCTTTGGCTGATTCGAGAGCCGAGCTTGCTGGACTTCTTTCTTCCCTGGGAGAAAAGACCTATATCGGTGTAGTGAGCAAACATCTACTCTGGTTAACCTTTTCATCTATGGTTTCCTGAAGAATGTTGAAAGATTCACGCCATTCTGTTTTCTGCAAAAAATTTCTAGTTTAAGTTACAAATTATTTGGCACCTAGGATTTGATTTTGATTTTTGGTTAGTAGGGAAAAGTTGTAGAATATCAGAAAAGGAGATTGACTTATCCAATTCCCATACCATTATCTTCTTGAAACAATACTCTGCATCATGTAAGCTAACAACCAATGTATCTCCTTACATTAGGTAAAAAGGTACCGTTAATTTTATGACTTTATGAATTATAGAAGAAAAATGCAGTTAAACTAGATTTCCTTCCTGATGAAGTGAATTGGGTATGACAGCCTGCCCTGTCACATTGGTCTTCAATGACCATTCATGTAAACTATTACACTTAGCTTGGTTAAGTTGCTTATTGACATGCTACTTATAAGTACTCGGACTTTGGTCATTTACTTCTTTGAACATATGTGTCTAAACTACACAGATAGTAGTGAGTAACTCTGGTCTTGAAGGTGCTTGCTTGTGCGTTTGTTATATTCTTTTTGATACTTATTTATGCAGTAATATCATTTTCTTTTTTCCGAAATGCCCTTAGTTGTTCCATCCTCACTTTACTATCTAGTATCTACCAAAGCCAACTAAATGAACCAGATATATGATTATGTGTAGTAGACTAGTGGGTCTATGCTTAGTTATATGTAAACATTCTGAGTAACTGTACTGTGTATTTACATTTTGGAATAATTAGGGAAAATTCTTTTTAAATAAAAGAAACATGGACCGCTTTGTCAAGGTCAAATATGAGGGCATATTCTTTTATGCGTCTAATTGTTTTATACTGACAGTTGGTTCCATGCAGCAATGAGCGAAAAGTATGTTGTAACTAATCAAACAAAAATGGCTTCTACAGTCTTTAATCACATAAGAGACTGGTCCCTTTAGGGCCTGTTTGGTTGATTTCCTAGAATCAAAGAAAAGGAAATAGGATAAGGAAACCATTAAAAGCTGATTTCCATCATTTTCTTCAAAAAAAGTCATGAAATGAGTTTCCTTAAAAATGGGTCACATCATCCAATAATATGGTGACAACTCATCTCATCTCTATTCTTAGTTTTAAAAAGTGAACCAAACAAAAGAAAAGAACCTATTACAGGAAATAGGTTTCTTATAATTGATTTCCTTGTTTTTTAGCCAACCAAACTGCCCCTTACTAACCTAGTTACTTCTATGTTGATGCTTCTGAAGGATGCAATCATATCTATATCTTGATTAGCAATTAAAAGTGCAGGTCCTTTCGGGAAGCAGGTGATATCATTAACATTCATATGTGATATACTGTTATTGATTGATAGTTGCTCTTTTTGATTTTTCACAGCCTGAAAAATCAACTGGCACGATTAAGGAGCAGCTTGCAGCTATTTCACCAGCCCTGGAACAATTACGTGAACAGAAAGAGGAAAGGATTAAGGAATTTATTGACACACAGTCACAAATTCATAAAATATGTTGTGAAATTGCGGGAAGTGAAAAGAATTGTGAGCAGCTGGTGACACCATCAGTTGATGAGGGTGATTTGTCACTCAAGAAATTGGATGAGTTCCAGTCACATCTTCAAGAACTGCAGAAGGAAAAGGTACCTTATTACTGAAATTGATCATTCCAATACTTACATGGACATCATTTCATAACATGTTCTGAATGCTGCATTGTTTTTTGTGCCAGAGTGACAGGTTGCACAAGGTTCTAGACTTTGTGAGCACTGTTCATGATCTTTGTGCTGTTCTAGGGATGGATTTCTATTGTACAATAACTGAAGTTCATCCTACTCTAGATGATTCTATCGGTGTGCAATTCAAGAGCATAAGCAATGATACTTTGTCAAAACTTGCGCAAACAGTTGAGTCACTTAAAGAAGACAAAAGGATGAGATTACAGAAGGTAATTCTGGCAGCTCAACCTTACATTTTTTATTTTCCTTCATCAATGTATATTGTTAATGACTCTCCCATTATGATACTACATATAGATTTGTGTATATATTCCTTTGTTGATGGATGATTAATTATCTATAACCACCAATAAAATTTTGATTGATATCAGGAGATCAAATTAGTTCTTTTTTCATTCATTGAATGATAGATGACTAAAAGCGCAAGAGATATGCGATTTAAAAAGCGGAAGATACAATATTTCACAATTGTATCTAGAATAAATGGAAAAGTAGAAACAAGACCAGATATAATTTGGTCGTTATGAGCCAATCCAAAATCATTGTAGATTGAACGAATCATTAGTTCCCAACCATGTGTCGAGTGAAATCTGATCCATAATCAGTAACTAAAAGAATTAAAAAAGCTTTTATTGTGTCACTTAAGTTATAGAGGAATTCCTGAACCATAAAATAAAATATATAAAAAATATGCACTGGTGAACCATAATCAGTAACTAAAAGAGTTAAAAATGACAATATATAAAAAATCTTTTCTTCTTAGTTACTTTTAAGGCTGAAACTTTATTCACTGGTAACTTTATCCATGTCCCATTTCCAACATGCACTGCAATCATTTATATTTGGGTAAGCAAGGATATGGGAAAAAAATCAAACATATGTAGGCATTTTAGTTCACATATTTTATTTAGACGCCAGATATGGAAAAAAATGAAAAAAGATCCAAGCAGTAGTGATTTGCGCATGGGAGAGTATTATACTATTTTGCCCTCTATAGTGACGATGATTTAGAACCATAACTTTGTTATTACTCTTTCACAGCTCCAAGAATTAGCTGCTCAGCTTTGTGATCTTTGGAATCTTATGGATACGCCTGAGGAAGAACGGAGTTTGTTTGATCATGTCACATGTAATATTTCTGCTTCAGTAGACCAGGTTGTAGTTCCTGGTGCTCTTGCCCTCGATCTGATTGAGCAGGTAAGGACTTGCAACTTCTTATTGCACTGAATTGAATTAATTCAGCAGCTGAACTCAATTTTTTTATTTCATACAGGCTGAAGTGGAAGTTGAAAGGCTAGATGACCTGAAGGCTAGTAAGATGAAGGAAATAGCTCTGAAGAAACAGAGTGAACTTGAAGAGATATATGCCCGTGCTCACATAGATATAGATTCTGTTTCTGAACAAGATAAAATAATGGTCCTTATCGATTCTGGAAATGTTGAACCTTCAGAATTACTAGCTAACATGGACAATCAGATACTAAAAGCCAAAGAAGAGGCATTAAGCAGAAAAGAAATTTTGGAGAAGGTCGACAAATGGATGTCAGCATGTGAAGAAGAGAGCTGGCTTGAAGACTACAATAGGGTAATTAAATCCTTCTTTTCTTTCTTTTACACAGAAATACTAGTTTGTTGGAAGGGATTAATTTTGGCAAAATACGCGGTGCTGCTAGGGCTGACATTTTGCCTGTGTACCTGGTTTTGGGCCTGGCTCAGACTGTCCATTACTATATATGTAAGCTCATCAAGCCTTAAGAATATGCATATTTTAATAACAAGGCCACAAATTTTTCTATTGCATAAGATTTGGACTTTTGCCATCAACTGAAATTGCAAATTCCTCTAAACAAGAGTGATATCAGTATCAATATTAACTTTTATAAATTACTTTGGCTTTCTTTCTAGTTGTAGAAAAATGTAGACAGGAGCCAGTAAAAGTTGACAAACTTGTGCATAGGCATGGGGCCTAAGACTCATGCCTTCACCATAACATGGTTTGCTTAGACTGTATGAAATTATTTGTGCTGGCATTGGTCTATTTCTTGCATGAGCTCAGCTTGCTACCACCATAGTTGCACGATTCCCTGGAACCCCCCTCGAACCGTCATATAGTTCATGTGAACCGATTCCTGGTATATTTGCGAACCAATTTCCTCCGACACATGAATTGGTACCCCAGAATCGACGTATGCCTTATATGTATTTGGGGCTGAAAGTCCTTTAAGTGTACATGTGGGAGACGCAATGCAATGTGTGCAATCGAGTAGAGGGAGACGCACAATAGAATATATGAGTCAAAAGACTTTACTATAACTAAATATCTATGTTAATAAAATGTGGAATAAAACCATGATCCCAACAAGAACTATGTGAAAAGAGAAACAGAACAATGAATTCCATAAAAAAGAAGCATTTAAGTATTTTGTATGGAAAAAAAATTGAAATGCATAATTAGCTTTCTAGTTTTCTACTATACACTTTGGAAAATGGTAAGCTGTAAGTGCACCTAGAAAATTTTATAACGTACCACTGATTGAACTTGCGTACCAAAGCAAGCTACCCCCACCTAATCCAAAATTTCTATGTGGCGAATTGCTTACCCGAATTCATATCACGTCCCGCTTCATACCATGTACTGTGTAACTATGGCTGCTTCCTTTGTCTTAGCTATGGAGGTGTCATATTTATTATCAAGTTTCAGACCATTGATGTGTTTGCTGCTTTTTTTTCCCTTTCCAGGATGACAACCGGTATAACTCAAGCAGGGGTGCACACCTGAACCTCAAGCGGGCAGAAAAAGCTCGAATTTTGGTTAATAAAATTCCAGGTGAATTTATAACTTCGTCGAAAGGCTTCCCAATAGCTCCCTTATCACAAAACATATTCTTGGAAAATTTCGCTACCAATATATGAATGTGTGCATTTGTAGATATAAAATATCTGGCACAATTTAACTCCACCAAAGCATCTTGTGTGAAGGAAATCAATCATCAAGCATTAACTTGTACAGGAGAAGATGCCATAGGAAAATAAATGCAAGGAAGTGTTGTTTGCAGGTGTATCTAATGCATCTGTGAATGAATGAACCTACACAGTTAAAATTTATGATATATTATTTAAGATTTTTAGGGCATTTCACTTTCCCTTTTTAACTTTCCTTTAAATGTGTATGTATATGATTTGGCACTTTTGATATCACTCTTTGCATCAATCACATGAAAGCTCATAACTATTTTGCTGACAACACAATGCAGCCTTTGCACTTTAAGTGCAGTTTATGTTTGTGGTTTTTCGATTGATGATACCCAATAGCATGTCTGTAACTTCTACTTCCTTTTATTTCTAAATGATGTGTCCGATTAGCTCTTGTTGATACTTTGGTGGCAAAGACCCGTACATGGGAAGAGGACCGTGGCTTGTCGTTCACATATGATGGTGTTCCTCTTCTAGCGATGCTGGATGAATATGCCATGCTCAGACACGAGAGAGAGGAAGAGAAGCGAAGGATGCGGGTAATCTACCCCCCCTCTTCTCTCCCGTGGGGAGTTCAGCTGTAGTTTTGTTACCAGTTTTTTCATGGTAATGTTTGTCTATCTTTTTCAGGACCAGAAGAAATTCCAAGAGCAGCAAATGAGCACAGAACATGAAGTTGCATTTACCACAAGGCCTACCGCTAGTCCTAGCCGAGCGCTTGGCCCAAAGAAGGTCGTTGGACCTCGAGCAAATGGAGCGGCAGCAAATGGTACCCCCAACCGAAGATTATCCCTCAACAGCAATGGCTCTCGATCAATGGGCAAGGACAGCAAGAAAGAGAACCGGACAGCAGCCCCTGCGAATTTTGTGGCCATTTCTAAAGAGGACGCTGCTTCTCATGTTTCTGCGACTGATTCATCCCCAATTTCACCGTGAGGTTTATTAATGTTGCCTAACTGTTGTAGTATTGATTAAGTGTTGTGGTAGGGATCAGAACCTTGAGAATCTCGAGTTATTAAGCACTGGGGGCTAATTAATAACCGTAGTATTGGTTAAGTGTTTATGTATTAGGTTAAAGAACTTCGAGATGAGTTATGTAGGCGCTGGAGGGTAGTTAATAACGAGGTTAAGTTGTGTATTGACTTGATGTGAGGTCTCTGATTTTGTTGCCTCTTGGCTCTTCGAGTTTGTTCATTATAGTAGTAGTTTTAATCTGTTATCTGCAGAATGGTTTTGGTGCTGAGCTATATGAGCAGTGGTAATTTAAGCATCCGCCCTTTCGAACTGTAATAGTTATCGGAGCAGAAAGAAAATATTGTAAATTCGAAGAAATTGTTTTATAGAAAATTGTATCTTTGAATTCTCGGGTGAAAAGCACGCAATTTTAGTCAGTTCTTGTTAACATGACAATGTGAAATCTTATTAAACTGCTAATGAACAGTTTGACTCCTAACAGAGTGCAAGAAGAGTTGCACGGCACCGAGCATAACTCGCCATCAAATTTAGTAAACATCTAATAATGATAAGAAAGTGGTGATACTGGATTAGCTGAGGTCCTCTGCATGTATTCGGATCACTACATAATCACAACCATTGATTATCTAGTTGATGGTTATGATTTTTTTAGTGCAAATTAGGAATGAGTGCAATACACGGGGGTATGGTAAGTGTTAGATTTAGATTGTATCATAACCGCCTACTAAATAATCAACGCTTGAGATTAAAAGTAGTGGTCCATCACTTTTAAAAGTTTCTTTTGTTAGAAGATGTTCCAGATTTGTTGATCTTGAACCTATGATGGCATTGGCCAGAGCTACATCTAGGATTACCAAGATTGATGAATTCTCCTCTCATGGAGCTTCTGCCAGTGGTCCAGGTGATAATTCTACCTCTCTGGGTTCTTCTTTTGTGCCTATTTTGTTTGATAGTTGCTCTAATAATCAATTGCAGAAGTTTGCCTCTAAATGTGCTATTGTTCTTGAGCCTCTAGAGGATTTTGATCCTCTAAAAAAAGTAAGGCAAATGGAGTTAGAAAGAGCTACCAATGTGTAGGCTCTGGATTTATTTCCTTTGTGAGAGAATTATTGTTTTGATATGTTGATTACTTGGAATGTGAGAGGTTTGGGTTTGAGTACTAAAAGATTTGGGGTTAAAGATTTTTGTCACTTAAACAAATTTGAGATTGTTTGTTTACAGGAGACTAAGTTGAATTGTATTTCTGATAGTATTCTCAAAAGTTTAGGGGGTACCATGTTTGATTGGGCTTGTGTGCCTGCTGAGGGAACTTCTGGTGGTATGTTGGTTGGATGGAATACTCTTAAATGGAGGAATTTACAAGAGAAATCTGGCAAGTATGTTTTAACAGTGGTTTTACAAAACAAAAAAAATGAGTTTATTTGGACTGTTTCTTCAGTATATGGACCACACTGTCACAGTGAGAGACAACTTTTTTGGCAGGAACTTAAATCTGTTCAAGATAGTTTTCCTGGCCCCTGGGTTGTGGTAGGAGATTTTAATGTTACTTCCAATCCTAATGATAGAAAAGGTAAAGGCATTTATAGAAAGGAAATGGATGATTTTAATGATGTTCTCAATGAATTAGAATTGATTGATAGCCCTTTATATGGTAGAAAATTTACCTGGTCAAATAAAAGAAGATTCCCCTCTATGGCTAGACTTGACAGAGTTTTTTTCAACTCTGAATGGGAAGATGTTTTCCCCTTTTCAAAGCAACAAGGCTTATGTAGTCAATTATCTGATCATGCTCCCATTAGTTTTGATTGTGGGGATAATCAACATTTTGAATATAAATTCAGATTTGAGAAGATTTGGTTACAATCTGATGATTTCATTAAGAGTGTTCCCATATGGTGGAGATGTGCTCCCTCATGTAATTCTGCAGCTAAAAATTTTGTAGGCAAATTAAGATTTATGAGGAAGTGCATTAAACAGTGGGTTCATCAAAATTTTTATAGTGTTAGACAGAAGAAAAAAGATTTGTTAGAAGATCTTTTGAAATGGGAGGTTTTAGAGGAAGACAGGGATTTAACAGATGATGAGTCTTTAAAAAAAATGATGTCTCTATTCAGTTGAATAAAATTTTATTTCAAGAAGAGCAAATGTGGAAACAAAGGGCTAAAGCTCATTGGCTTAAGGAGGGTGATCAGAATACTGCTTATTTTCATAAAATAGCTAATGGAAGAAAAAGAAGTAATTTGATCCCAGCTATTACTTTTAATGATGTTGAAGTTAGTTCTGAGGATGGTATTGCTCAGGTTTTCTTTAACCATTATAGCCAGATTTATGGTCAAAAGGTCACTAATAGATGTCAGCTTGATTGACATAATCTTTTCCCCTTTTCAGACTGGGGTTCCAATGATATTGAACATCCTTTTTCAGTGGAAGAAGTTCATAGAGCTATTTTTGACATGAATGGAGATAAATCTCCTGGTCCTGATGGCTTCCCTGCTTTATTCTTTCAAGTGTTTTGGGACACTGTGAAAAAAGATATTATGTTGTTGTTTGAAGAATTTTATGAAGGCAGACTTGAGATTAACAGATTTAATTATGCTCATATTGTTCTTATTCCTAAAAAAAGTGAATCTTATACAGTCAATGATTACAGACCCATCAGTCTGCTTAATGTGATTTATAAAGTGATCACCAAAGTTCTTACTAATAGACTGAACTCAAAGCTTGAGCTGCTTATTGATCCTTTGCAATCTGGTTTTATTAAAAACAGATTTCTTCTGGATGGAGTTGTTGTAGCCCAGGAAATCATTAATGACTGTTTTCATAATAAAAGAAAGGGAGGGATTTTATTAAAGTTAGATTTTGTGAAAGCCTATGATATGCTTGACTGGAATTTTATTCTGGATGTTTTGAAAGCCAAAGGTTTTGGTATCAGATGGATCAATTGGATAAAATTATGTCTGAATAATGGTATGTCTGCCTTAAACATAAATGGTAAAACAGGGAGTTGGATTATGTCTAAACGAGGAGTCCGTCAAGGAGATCCTTTATCACCCCTCCTCTTTGTTTTAGCAGCAGATTCTTTTACAAAAATATTAAATCTTGCTGTGGATGCACACCTTATAGAGGGATTAGGTCCTCCTAATTTGGTTCACAAAGTTCATTGCTTACAATATGCTGATGATACTTTGATTTTTTGTAAAAATGATAGAATGCAGTTGGCAGTTTTGAAACTGATCCTATATTGTTTTGAACTTGCTTCTGGTTTACAAATTAGTTTTAATAAAAGTACTCTAATTGCTCTTGAAAATAATGAGTCTTTGCAGCATGATTTAGCTATCATGATGAATTGCAAAAGTGGTGCTTTCCCTATTACTTACCTTGGGATTCCTTTGCGTCCTGGAAGGTTAAAAAAAGAAGATTGGTTTCCTTTAACCAATAAAATAGAGAAAAGACTATCTTTATGGAAAGATAAATCTCTATCAAGAGGAGGCAGGTTAGTGCTGGTTAATGCTGTCCTTTCTTCTATGCCAGTTTTTTGGTTATCTTTCTTTTTATTTCCATCTTGGGTGATTGAAAAAATTGATAGGATGAGAAGGAGATTTTTGTGGACTGGATCTCCTGATCATAAGAATTGTTCTAATTTGGTTAAATGGGAAGAAATTTGTAAACCAAAGTTCTGTGGAGGTTTTGGGATTAAGAATTTAAAAATTATGAATAAAGCCCTTTTGGGTAAATGGTTATGGAAATGGTTGGATGGGAAATACAGTCTTTGGAAGCAAATTAGTGGCCATTTTCACTTTGTTACAAGATCTTGGGCTTGGTTTTTAAAAGCTAATAGATTGAATTTGTCACATTTTTGGAAAAGCCTTTTTAATATTTCTGACTGCTTTTTGTGCAGTACATTTGGTGTGGTTGGGAATGGAAACCAAACTTTATTTTGGCTAGATAAATGGGTAGGTTCTTTTACCCTTGCTTCTATGTTTCCATCCTTATTTTCCCTTTCCTCATCACCTGGTGCTTTCATTAGTAGTATGAGAATTAATGATAATAATAATTGGAGATGGGATTTACAGTTTAGAACTCAGTTAACTGGAAATCTGGTGTTTCAGTATTTCAATTTGTTGAATCTCATCAATTCCATTTCCTTTAATGGGTATGAGGACAAAAGAGAATGGTTATGGGAAGCTAATAAAATGTTTTCAGTGAGATCTTTTTATCATTTCCTTATTGATGGTGGTCTAAGGTTTGATTGTATAAATCTATGGGATTTGCATATTCCTTTAAAGGTCAAATTTGTAGTTTGGTTGGCTCTGAGGAATGCTTTGAATACTACAGATATTCTGGCTAAAAAAGGTGTCTCCTTTCAGAAGATTTGTTGTTTGTGTAACAAAGCAGATGAAGATCATTCACATTTGTTTCTGAACTGTGAGTTTGTATACTCCATTTGGAGATCAATCCAATTCAAGTTGAGTACTGACAATGATTTTAGATTGTCTTCTATAAAAGATGTTTGGATTTAGTGGTCCAGTGGATACAAGGGGGAGTCTAATTTGAAGAGAAGAGTTTTCATTTGCTCCTTTATTTGGTGTGTCTGGCAGGAGCGCAATGACAGATTGTTTTCTAATAAGCAGAAGAGCTCTCTTGTCCTCTTGAACAAAATTGTGACTTTTTCAACATTTTGGCTAGGATCTGAGAGGGTTTCTACTCGAGCTGCCAGATTACAAGAAAGAAGAAGAAAAAGAGCTGCTGGTTTCAATTCTGCCAAAGTTACGGATTTTGGGTCTAAAGATGGTGCGGTTGCAGTGATTCAATTGGAATGAGTCTCTCATATTCAATGGAAACGCTCTTGGTTTTGCTTGAAGGATTCTCTGTTCTTCTGTTTTGTCTTTTTTCTTTTGACAAACTTGTTAGAACAGATAGTTGGGGGAGGTTATGTCCTTTTTTTCAGTTTTATACAGGGAGATGGGGGTATATTTCTGGTAGTATGTTCTTGTGAACTTTAGTACATACTCTTGTGGTTGGGAGTATGAACTTTTTTTGTAACAACCACTTTATCTTTTAATTTAGCTGGCTGGAATACCTTTTTGGGGTATTCCATCCTTTTTCTCAAAAAAAAAAGTAGTGGTCCATCCACTATTTTTTTGTGGTGGAGAGGATCCAAATCCCCTCTGCCTCTAGGTTGCAGGTCAAGTCACCTCAATTAGTATAAATTGTTAAAAAAAGAACGAAATAAAGTTGGGAGGGGGGCCATCTTAGTTTCCTCATGTAAAACCAATTTTTTTTGGCAACACCAGAAACTTGATTAGGGGACTCAAGTCCGTGTCCTCGTGTCATTACGGGTACTAAACTCTTTCAAGAAAATTAGGGAGAATTGAGGTCCAAATAAAGAAACACGTGTTTAAAAAAAATTATTTGGGTGTGTGAAAGATGAACAAACCACGCATAATTGGTTAAAGTTTTAAATTATTTATGGATTAATGCTTAATGTTTAGAGAGCGAATAAGCTTTTATTTTACCGTATTTTGCTTGTTTATTTTATTTTATGGTTCAGAGTAAAGCTAGTGTGGTTAGGGGTGCGCTGCTAGTTGCTGCGTTATTGAGGACTCGCTCGCTGCTCGTCGTAGCATCATTTATGGTGCTCCTCGTAGAAGTGCTGTTGCAGTTTTGCTTGTTCTGCCTCTCCAAGGTCTCCGTCGACGAGCCGCCGATCTTTTCCTATCTTCCTTTATCTCTTCATCATCGACTCTGTCCGTGACATTGCGTTTTAGATTTCCAGTACAAATCTGTTGGATAACAACTGCCCTCGAGAAGTGTTGAAATGAACAGCATTCGACGTGCCAAGTCCCACATCCAGTGCTCACGGTGATCTACAGATCACGGCAGTGGCGTCCTAGTTGAGCTTGACTCAGAGCTTGGCGGTGTAGGTAGGGGCTTGATTGCTACCATGGAATTGGGCGGTGATGTTGGAGAGAGTGATGCCAGGCCCAGTGCTAGCGTTGGTGCTGGTGTCGGAGCTCTGACCACTAGGACAAGTGACGTGAGACGCATAACAAACAACTTCAAGGAGACGCGAGATCTTCACGAGCTAAATGCGGTTGCGGATGAATTATTTACTTGCCAGAAACAATCATATCTCCAATCTACTCTAATTTATTATATATGAAACTCATCTATCTCGATGAGACAAAGCCATCCAGATTGACAAATTCCTGAAAGCGCATCAGTATCATTGGCTTTTAGCAAAAATCCAAAAAAATTAACAAAAATTTGAAAATAATTATAATTTAGTTTATTTTTTAGTAATGAAATTGGAGTCTATTTAGATTAGGAAATAAATTCAATATTGATTCGTTTTGGACTGATATGTTCTCTCTATTATAGAAAGTCTTTTTTTAATATGATTTGGTATTTTCAACTTCTTTGTAATTCTAGTTTTAGTAGGAGTCTAGTTTATTTTTCTAGTTAAGAAGAGACATGTAGCCCAAAAATTATTAGATCACTTTTATCAATAAAAAATTTCTTATTTTTTTTTTGTGGATTCAAAACTCTTCATGGATTCGAAGATCGTTTTTTTAAGAGCACTTCATAGTGGATTTTGAGGTTTATCACTTTCGCATTGCGTTAATTGCTCTGATACTAATTAACATAGCGTGAAAGTGATAAAACTTAGAATCCACTAAGTGTGCCCTTTGAACCCGTAAAGAACGATCTTTGAATTGGCAAAGAAAAATAATTAGAGAAATTTTATTGATAATAATTTGGGGTGACATGTCTCTTCTTAAATAGAAAAATAAACTAGACTCCTAATAAGACTAAAATTACAAAAAAAGAAGAAATTATCAAATCCTAACCTAAAAAAATTCCCTATAATAAGAGGAAACAAACTAGTCCAACATGAATTATAATTAAATTTATTCCCTAATCTGAATAGGCTCCAAATTTATCACTAAAAATAAACATAAATCTAATTATTTTTAGATTTTTGCCAAAAATCGGTGATAGTGATGTGATTTAAGGAATTTATCAATCTAAATGATATAGCCTCGTCGAGATAGGCGATTTTCATATATAATAGGTCTGAATCCTTTTTCGGGATTAGAAGATATGGTTGTTTCTTTGCGGACAAGTAAATAATTCATCTGTATCCGCATTTAACTCCTGAAGATCCTACTTGTCCCTAAATTTTCTTATTGTGGGTGGTACATTAGAGACCCTAGTAAAATATGATTATTGATATAATTGCTTTATTATTTTTTAAGCAAAAAAACTAGAGTGCTCCCAAGTTGAAATTCTTGGCTACAACACTAGGCAAAGAATAAACCTATCCAACCACTCTCAGGGATCCGACTCAAACCCATCCGTTTCAACGACCATCCTAACTGACCTAACTCAAAGCGGACAAAACTATTCAAGCAGGGATCTTTGAGCGGACAACAAATCCACCAAATTATCGTGGCCCACCCTGGTGGATAAAACTCAACTTAATTATCTCAAAAAACAAAATGATTATTTCTAGCAAAGAAGTTGGATGTAAAATTGTTAAAAGATCCAAACCCATTAACATATGATATGTACCCGACTCCGCTTTCCTTGTTCCCCCTCTTTCCTCTACTCTTCCTCCGCTTCTCTTAACTGCAAAGTTACCCGAGTCCTCTCTCTCTCTCTCTCGCCCTCTCTCGAAATCGATCGCCTCTTTCCCCAATTTTGCCCTAAATTTCTCTAAAATCTAATCTAATCCCGTTGAATTCTAAGAAGAGAAAAATATCATGGGGAGCGAGTCAGAGCCAGCGAAACTCTTGCTTCCGTTTCTTCAGCGAGCGGACGAGCTCCAGAAGCACGAGCCTCTCGTCGCATACTACTGTAAGTTTTCGAATACCCTCCAAAACCATAACCCTAACCCTTGATTTTTCCCAATTATTGGCTATTTGTTCAGCAATTGGTTTGAACGATTTATATCTCTTGAAGGTCGATTGTATGCGATGGAGAAAGGGCTTAAGATCCCACAGAAGGAGCGAACAAAGACCACTAATTCCATTCTGATCTCGCTCATGAATCAGCTCGAAAAGGTCGGTCTTTTGGTTCTTTTCCGCCTTATTCTACTTTTTTTTCGATTTTATTGGATATAGATTTCGATTATTTTAAGGTGACAAAAGGTTTTACGTTTAGTGATGAGATTAGGCGTGGATTTGTTCAATTTCATGTTGTGAGAAATACGTAGAAAAGGATATTTTCACTTTTGAGTAAAAGAGAGATCATAAAAAGTTATGCCCGTGTAGAAATTTTATAGCAGTGTTAAATTCTCCCTTTCTTAGGCCCATTTTTAAGATAAACTAGTTATATTTGCGGAAGAGGCCCTTAGTACTTTTAGTAGCCTTGAGGGTTTTCAGTAAGAAATAAGGGATTTCGAGAGGCTGCTGTTGTGATTGGAAAAGAGAGAGCATGAAATTTCGATCGTTGATGTTATGGTGTTACATAATTCTCATGATATGTAGAAAAGTTTTTTTTTTAAAACTGAAGTTCTACAATGCTAAACTTGAGACAGTTCTGGTGTAGAAAGTAAGTAAAACATAGAAGAGGATAAATCCTGTGAATCTACCCTCCTTCCTGGAGGGCTTGTCTGGAGTTCAAACGGAGGAAACGTTATCCTTGTGATAATTAACCCTTCTCCAAGTGGTAGCCTTGTTGATCTATGAACTATGGCGTTCAACCATTGTTTTATTGTTCTTCCTCATACAACAAGGTGATAATCATCAAAGAGTTGGTTCCAAATTGTAATCTACTAAATGAGAGATCTGAGTGACGTAGCAGGTCCAATCTCTTCTTCGGTTACAAAATTTAACTCTGAAAAGAAATTGTCAGTGGAAAAGGCTTACGTTCCCTTTAGTAACTGCTTTGAGAGGTTGTGATATGTTCATGTTATATTTATTTAATATTGCCGATAAATTACCCTGTCTATTAAGTTTATTCGATTTATTACCTCCTGCAAATGAATGTGTGGAGATTGCCTAGTGTTTTATATGGCAAATGATCATTTCATACATTGGTATTAGGCCACATCTCTTTCTAACTTTCTGCTGGCTCCTGCTGCAAATCAATGTATGTGGAAACTGCTATGAGTGTTTTCTTTGGAAAGTTTATTTTTTGCTAGTTGCTACACTGCTGTCAGCTTATATGTGTATGCTTGAGTTGAACTTTCTGTCTCAATTCACCGATGACTTGGTAAAGTAACAACTTCAATCATTTTCATGCTAGCCATTTTATTTTCTTGATATTTTCCAAAGTGCCCTGTCCTTCTAATTGTTGTGGCCCATATGTACTGGTAATTGCTGATAGTCAGGAGATAATCTAATTTAAAATAAAAAGTGTGCATAATGGGAATCTTGTTTGCATATTTATATTACAGGATAAGAAATCGTTAAAGTTAGGCCCAGAAGATTACCTGTACGTGGAAGGCTTTGCCTCAAACGTGTTTGCAAAGGCTGATAAGCAAGACCGGGCTGGACGAGCTGACCTGTAATCCACTATCACCTCATTTTATCATTTATAGAATTTTAAAACTGTTTTTTGGTTGTGTATTGATCTCACAAATATTGTCTGAAATTGATGGAACTGGATGTTGCAGGAATACGGCAAAAACATTCTATGCTGCAAGCATCTTCTTTGAGATTTTGAACCAGTTTGGTGAACTTCAGCCTGATGTGAGTTGATTTCCATATTATTAGCTTCAATGTTTATGTTGTTTTCAGCTCTTTCCATGATCTGTAAGCTTTGCTAACACAGTCTGGATGATGTACGTCTTTATCAAATTTCCACCTGGCTTTAATTGGAATCTGATTTGATGAGACCATGATTAAATCTTATGCCATTTGCAGATTGAGCAGAAGCTAAAGTATGCTGTCTGGAAAGCAGCAGATATAAGAAAAGCTATGAAGGAAGGACGGAAGCCAGAGCCTGGACCTCCAGGTGGTGATAAAGATTTATCACTGCCCTCGAGTTCTCCAACTAGCGCATATGTAAGCTTATGTTTGTATTTCTTATATCCCGGGCTCAAAATGGAAGATAACTTGCTACATTCTTATTTCTTGAGTTTATAACCTGCTTTACCATGCATAAAGGCTACTGGAATTTCTTGGGCGATTCTCTTCTTTTTTGTTTATTTTATATATTTCTGGTTTCGTGATAGAAGTTGTAGAGGCCACTGGATCTGATATGGCGTCATCTCATGGAAGAAAAAGATGATTTTAGCCTTCTCCTGCACCTATGTGGATCACTGTTAGCGGAACTTTACAGAAATTAAAAAGCCATCTTAATACTGTTAGTCATTGGAAAAATATATTATAATTGTTCGATAGTAAGAATCAGGGGTGGTTGGTTTGGTCGGTTTTTTCAAATTTTAACTAAACTGTACTGAACCGAACCATTGTATATTTGAAACTGAACGAATCAACCAAAATTAGTTCGGTTGGTTCAGTTTGGTCTATTTGGTTTAGAATTTGGCTTGCTTAATTAAGAAAAAAGGCCTATTGTTACCCTAATGAAGATGCATATCAATACACTGGTGAAAGAAAAATATGGATTAATGGATTGATAAAAGAATTGATGTAAACTAATTCAAATAATTAACAATTTAAGGAAAATAGAGGAAGAAATTTGTTAACTAATAAGAAGAAAGAAAAAGTGTTTTAGATAACTGAGAGCAGTCAGTTCGGTTTGTTCGAGTTGAAATTTTCTTACTTTAACTGAAGTACTGTTTGAACCTTATTTTAAGACCAAACGGAATCGCCAAATTTTGGTTGGTTCGGTCGGTTTAATTGATTCAGAACTGATTAATGCGCACCCCCAAAACAATTTGTCAATTTTGCAGTGTGCATCTACTAAAAGTGTGAGGTTGACCCCTTCATGATATCCAACTCATAAAGTTTGTTAGCTAAAAACTAGGAGTCCCTGCTATTTTATGTTAAGTTATTAATTATCTTGAATTTACTTGTAGTGTTTCCATCTCATACATGCTTTATCCTATAAACTAAGCTGTGCTATGATATGGATGTAAATATTTCAACAGGTTAGAGTATTAAGCAGAGATGGCTTTGTGCTTTGAAGGATAAAGTACAGACATTAGGAGATTTCAAAATAACTAGATAGTAGATGCTACTCAAAATTAAAGAAACATAAGAAAAATTTATAGAAAATGAAAAGGGTACAAGACAACTCTAAGCAGTTGTCATGAATAAAAGGCATGGAGTGAATACTCATTTTAGAATATAAAGAATGAGACAGGAAAACCTCAATGGGTAAAAGAATGCATGAAAGAAAAATCTAGGCAGGCTTGTTAGTGCATCCTAGTTCCTGATTTCTTACTGTATTATGAGAATATTAATAAAAAAATCAGCTGTTTATTTTCTACCGTAAAGAAATTTCTCATCAATTCTCTTTTCTATTTAGGATATCGGATCAAATGAGAGCTTTTCTACTTCCAAGCCGGTCGCTGGTTCACCATCTCAGCATGTAGAAAAGGTGAATTTGCGCCTGCCTTCAGGGACTTGTATTTATTGACCTTACATTGAAATAATTTTTGTTCTTCTTGTACACTAATCGATCTCCCATCTTTTCTTCAGGATTTTGGCAGAAGCGAAAGCTTCCAAAACAACTACACAGGTGCTGATCTACCATCACAGCCTTTAGACAGGGTCAATTCCTACAATGCTTCACATCCACCTGCCTCGCCTTCTACTTACCCAACCAATGATTATCCTCCCGGAGGTTATCACCAACCTTCCCCGTCTAACAGTTACCAACCTCCCCCATCTGGTACTCCAGATATCTCCAGCTATCCTCAACACTACCACTCTCAATCCTATCCAAATGATCAGCAGCCAATCTCTCAAAATTACCATCCAGAAAATCCCAGCCCTCCATATTCTTGCCCTAATTTCCAAACCTACCCGAGTTTCCATGATACCTCATTTCCTGCTGCTCCAACTCACCAGCCTTCGTACTATCATGATGCTGATGCTTCCTTCTCTCGTCAGTCATCTGCTCCTTCTGTACCAAACTATCCATCACAAGCGATGAAGTATGATTCTGGTGCTGGGAATGGTAATCATGTTGCTCCTCAAGCTCCACCTCCTGCTGCTCCAACTTATACATATGACAGCAATTATCAGCCGCCTGTAGAGAAAATATATGAGGCTCATAAGGCAGCTAGGTTTGCAGTTGGGGCCCTGGCATTTGATGATGTTCCTGTCGCAGTGGAATTTCTAAGGAAATCACTTGAACTTCTGACCAATCCTTCAGCTCAAACCCCCTGAGAAGTGTTGGCTTGCTGTTTTGTCTGAAACTCGGTGGTCATGTACATGCTTATGGTTGTGTTCGTGAGAGTTAATACGTGTTACTTTACTTGCGAAAGAACGTACTGCATTACATTTTTTCTGGTTGTATCTGCCTATCCTTGAAATTGAATAAGGTGATCTTTGATGTCGTTACTTTATATGTTATCACGAGTTTTATGTCCGAGTGATTCTAAAAAATGTTCCTGTTGCTGTGGAGTTTTAAGACGGACTGCAGAATTTATTCATTTCGCACATCTGTTCTCCGATTGTTAGTTAAGGGAAAGATCATGCTTGCATTTCATTTATCTATCACATTCGAACTGGGTTATAGCATTAGCTCATGTCTCGTCGTTTTCTCTCTATTATTTCCTCCACGTTTCCTTTTTAAGTTGCACTTTGGTTGGGTTGATGGAAAACGACACGGATGGGGGTGATGCACAGTGAAAGGTGAAGAAACACAGTCTAATTTTGCTTCACCAACGAGTGCCTTTTTTAGTAGAACCAGCAAGTCTGCCTATTTGCTTGCGTTATTTAAAGCAACTTGCGTTCTAAATAATTGAACTTGTTTGCATAATTGCATGTAACACATGACCTCCTCTTTCTAACTTTCTACTAGAAAGTGAAAGGAAAAGGAATTGCTTATTTGGAGGCCGTATATTCATCTAACTCGACGTGATCCCATAAAGAATCCTTCCTCTCACTGATAAAGACACACAAAGCATCCCCCTTGTTATACACACCCTCAAATGTTTCACTACTCATCGAAGCCCACATCCTTTGCTTTGCTCTCCATTCCTTGTCCCATTGCGTAACAACTAAAGCATTACCTTGTCCAATTTACAGACGAGCCTCCTTATTTCTCATAGACCCAGTCGCCACTGTCTCTTTATAACACAGAAACCTTTGAAAACATATCAACTCACCCCCTTGGAAACAATCACAATCCTCAATGGGAGCAAACCTCTGCACGTTGCGACAGTCTTGCTTCGCAAAGTTGCCAGATGAGGATTCGGATGGAGATGTACCGGCCTGGGGGTCGACAGTCGAGCTCTTGGAGAGAAACAAGAAGATGGGCATAGAAAAGGATGAGAAGACTCCGGCACTGGAGCAGTGGATGTTTTCTTCTCCTTCTGTACCTGAAGGTGGGGTCGATGGGAGCAGAGTTCAGCAGCTATGCTGGCATTCTGCAAAGGTTTCTCCGGTGAGTTATTCGACGCCGAGGAGGAGTCAGAGTGGGAAGAGGGTGAGCTTTAGGTTGCCGGAGGATGCCGACATACATGTTTACGATTGTGATGATGAGAAGGACGTAGAGTTGATGTCCTAGTGTTGAGTGGCTATGGCTTGTGCTTTTCTTGTCCTCTATGAGAAATGAAGCTCTGTATAAAAGACTTTTGAAGTGAATAAGCTCTTCAAAGATCTCCCGTGTGGATTTTAGATCACTATATTTTGTCATGTTACTGTCAGTTTCCATAACGAAGTCACTATATCTTGTCATGTTACTGTCAGATTCCATAACGAAATCACTATATTTTAACTGAATAATCAAAGAACACAGAATAATCAATGGTTTAACTGAATAATCAAAGAAAACAGAGAAAACTTTTCTCTCCTGTCTCAAGACCATATTCCCATTGACCAATATAGATCATGCAGATTATACACAAAAAATTATATTACTTAAATTTGTAACTTTGAAATTTGTTGAAAATACAGGACCATATGCATGCAGCAAATGCAGAGGAATAGGAGACAGTCCAGCTGACAGCTTCTTCAACTTTATTTTTAATTCATCCGGAGACCAACCAATACCCCAAAAACAAAAATAGATGAGGAACATGACTACGTGAAAACCGAACAAATATGACATGTATCAATATGATTTAGTAAAAAAAATGATTTGGGAAAATAAGATTTAGTACATGACAATTATGAAAAAAAAGCTACAAAAACCCAAAAATGAAAAGAGATTGAATCAGGAAAAAAATATCCAGAGAAAGTAAAATCTCTAAAGGCAAGTACAATATATCCGACCACCAAAATCCAAAAACCTATAGTCAAATCACAAAAATCAACGTTAAGTTTACCATCACATGATCAAATATTTCAGTAGTGCCAATAGTGTAGATATCCCGCCTTAATTGCAGTTAAGCCAAACATACCATATCCATATTCAGCTTTCTCACCTACATCAATTCCCGTATCAGATATAAAAATAAAATATTCAAATCCGTCCATTACCCTCTGAAAAAACCAAGAGGGGCAGAAACGGTCCAATTTCAGCTTTTGATTGACAACTGGATTTTGTAAATGAATTTGTATACAGCATTTACCAAAAGCTGATAAGCATGAATACAATCACCCTGGACGCCAGTTGGATGGATGCTGCTGTAATTCTAGAAACGATTCAAAAGCCCGGCACCCATGTCATCCGAATAATTATGCTAAAACTTGAGCAAATTAAAACTAGGTCTAAATATGACCCATTCCACTTTTGCTCCATTCAAATACAATCCTAAACTGGAAATATCATATCATGACAGCAGCATCTTAACAAGATATTGAACAGTGACAAGCAAAAAAAATGCTCCTGAAGCATGATTAAGTATTTCAAACTGATAAAAGTTACCTACCAAAATCGGGTAAAAATTAACAACCATAACATGAAGCAAACAATTCCCATGTATGACAACTACATCAAATTTGTAAAAGCACCACCGACATTTTTTGCTAAATTCACTGGTCACCAGGGAGGGTCTTGATGATGTCTGAATCGCCTGCAAATTCATAAGATAAAGAAGACAACAATGTGAGGACATATGACAGCAAGTGAAGAAAGAACTGGAAAATATGTATCAAGATGAATAAGAACTCACCAGGATCGATAATGCTGAGGCAGCACACTCGGTAATATTTGCCGCAGGCCGTTCCAAGATCAACATTATCTGTTTCAAAACATAAGGAAATGTTTAAAGGAATTCAAAACACAACAGCTCCCAAAGATAAGCAGACCACATCTAAGTGATGTATTAAAGCTAACAATTTGACATTTTGACTTAAATGAACAGATGTCGTACACCAAAAGGTTAGTGAAAAATAGATAAAATCTTTATGAAAATGAACATTATTGGCAAGACTGATCTGTAAATAGATCCACAAAAAGATGCTATATATGATCAAAACAAGTGAAATCCACCTTAACAGAGATAAAAGGAAAAGAATCTACTATTTAGCATAAACAAGTTTCTCTCCAACCATATGGAAAAGAACATATAAAATAATGAAATTTTTGCTTGGTAGCTACTTTAATATGTATACCCAAAAGGATGCATTAACATGAAAAAAGGTGTAGGACACAAGCCACACAACTGCCCTAAAAAAGGCAGCAGGAAAATGTTAATAAAATTTCATACCTAATAGAAAACATAACGCAGAACAACAATGATATCACTGATGCCAATTTGTCTAGGTAAGTGAAGATCAGTTGAATATGCTCTATGGCAAGTTGATTGTATAGGGCAACAGCCAATATCACAATAAAAATAATATGCAGCCTAACTAGTTATGTCCAATAAGGCTAGCTAAACATCAGCTTGTTTAAATACTTGTGACTCCTAAATGGTCTGATAGACAACGTAGTTTCAAATTGATTCAAATTTGAACAGCTATCAGATTTTAATTCTCAAGAGGTAAAATTTATCAGCTATTGCTTCTATATCATGTTAAATATATCTTATGAAAAAATATCAACAACACATTCAACATCTCTTGAAATGAAACCCAAAAAAAGAAAAAGAAAAAAAAGAGGGATGAAAGGAGTTGGTTTTTTGTGTGGAAGCGTGGTTTTGTGTGTTTTTTTTTTTTGGTTTGGGAGGGGGATCAAAAAAGGTCCCACAGGTACATCTAAGCGCCTCACCCAATGTTGAGCTGCATTTGATACATGCAACTTAAAATACATAACAAAAATTTGATATCTCACAAGTACAATTACTGGTAGAATGGCACCATACAGCATAATATTGAGCTTCAGGGGCAAAGCAACTTACTTCCATTAAAATGATGAACTCCAACCTTGGCCAACATAGCATAGTACTCAATTAAAGACTTGCGAAGAGGGGGGCAGTTGTTTGCAATGATAATCAGCTTACCTAGAGATAAAAAAACATATATACTAGAGAATGAGATATCAACAATCTTCTAGCAAGTTTAATGGACACTCAGATTACATAGAATCATGGTAGAGCATGACATCATAAGAGGAAATGAGGAAATGAGGAAACAATGAAAAAAAGAACATGCACAAAAAAATTTATATTTGAAGTTTCTATTTGCAATCAAACCATGAACTAATGGGGGCAGAAATATAATAGAAACTCAACTAATTAGAGTCTCTGGTTCTGCATTACTAAACAAACTACTCTAAAAATGTTAAGCACAAAGTTGAACCCATCAAAGGACGACATCACATTCAACTAAAGCGCAACAGTTCAAAGTGAATGAGATATAATTTTTAGATCAATAACATAATTCCAGTTTCAACAAAATGAAACCATCTAAAAAATTAAAGACTTTAATATCAAAATGTCCTCACCCTCTACAAATTGTACTAGATTAGGAACACAACCTAGAAGAATATGAGAGAGGAAACTAATATAGGGCACTGCATTCATCTCTGAGGCATATAAATAACCAAAGAGTCAAACTTCAGTCCCAAAGGCACTGCATTCATTTCTGAGGCAGATAAATAACCAAAGAGTCAAACTTCAGTCCCAAACAACATTAAAGAACCCTAATATAATTTTTAGATCAATAACATAATTCCAGTTTCAACAAAATGAAACCATCTAAAAAAATTAAAGACTTTAATATCAAAATGTCCTCACCCTCTACAAATTCTACTAGATTAGGAACACAACCTAGAAGAATATGAGAGAGGAAACTAATATAGGGCACTGCATTCATCTCTGAGGCAGATAAATAACCAAAGAGTCAAACTTCAGTCCCAAGCCACATTAAAGAACCCTAATATGAATCTAACAACAAATTGTAGACATCTTGAACCCGCATTCATCTAATCCCAAATCCTATCTAGATCTAATAAAACAATAATAGAACAAGATTCCACCTTTAGAGCTCCTGAGGGATCTGAGGACGGTCTTGAACCCTAGAGTGTACTTGCCACTCTTCATCACCAGAGCCAGCCTGTTGTTTATGCTCTCCGTCGTCTTCTTCTGCAAAACCCCATTCCGATTTCATTTCATACATCAACTCTGTTATCGCTTCAAATAATAATAATAATAAACCCTAGAAATTGCATACTAGATCAAGTGGAGATCAGATCAAGTGATTGAGAGAGAAATGGAACTGATACCGTTTTCTTCGTGGGCGCCATTGAAGCGGAGCGGAGAAACCCTTGAAGCTAAACTCGTGGCCGCGAAGGAGAAAGAAACCCTAGAGTTTGGAGGCATAATATAGCAGGACATGACCGGAGCGGATTTTACGAGATTGCCCTAGTATGGGTTCGGGTCTGGATATGGGCTCGCTTGAAAAGCCCAATCAAAGTTAAACGTTAGGTCAAGCCCAATACATTAAGGTCACCAAAATACCACATTAATTAAGTGTAAGTAAGTGTCAGTATTTATCCTTTTTTAATCTATTAAAAAAATGTATTCTTGAACCTCTGTGTTGTAAAACTAATAAAATAGAGTAGAGAAAGTAGGCAAGAAGTAGAAAGAATTTTATTTCCTCTATTTCTCCTTACAAAGTGAGGTAGGAATACATCTATTTATATACAAACTAAGATGATGATACATGAATCATATTAATTGTGAGGTAGGAATACATCTATTTATATACAAACTAAGATGATGATACATGAATCATATTAATTACTCATAGAGAATATCAAGGGGTCAAACTAAGATGATGATACATGAATCATATTAATTACTCATAGAGAATATCAAGGGGTAATACATGTATAAATCTCTTTGGGAAACTAAATAGACATCCACATCATTTAATTATTTCATAACACTCCCCCTTGGATGTCCAACATTACGCAAAGAATATGTCTCGTTAAAACCTTACTAGGAAAAAACCCAGTGGGAAAAAATCCTAGTGAAGAAAAAAGAGCACACTATTCTTGTGTATTAGTTTCTCCCATTGATTCAAATATCATTTGAGATCTTTCAACCGACACATTCCAATATTTTTACCAATTTCTCAAAAGTTACAGTCGACAATGCATTGGTGAATAAATCTGCCAGATTATCACTCGATCGAATTTGTTGCACAAGGATTTCACCATTCTTTTGCAAATCATGTGTAAAGAAGAATTTTGGTGAAATGTGTTTCGTTCTATCTCCTTTAATATATCCTCCTTTTAATTGAGCTATACAAGCTGCACTGTCTTCAAACAAAATAGTTGGAGGATTTTTATTTTCAGGAGACAATCCACTATTCTTCCGGATATAGTGGATCATTGACCTTAGCCAAATACATTCTCGACTGGCTTCATGAATTGCTATTATTTCAGCATGATTTGAAGAAGTGTCAGCAATTGATTGCTTCGTAGATCGCCATGAAATAGCGGTGTCGCCACATGTAAATAAATAACCAGTTTGAGACCTTGCTTTATGCGGATCAGATAAATACCCAGCATCAACATATCCAAACAATTCAGATCGAGAATTATAAGAATAAAATAAGCCAAGATCAATTGTTCCTTGGAGATAGCGAAAAATATGCTTTATACCATCCCAATGTCGTTTTGTAGGAGATGAACTAAATCTTGCTAATAAATTCACAGAAAATGATATATATGGTCTTGTACAATTAGCAAGATACATTAGTGCACCTATTGCACTGAGATACGGTACTTCAGGATCAAAAATCTCTTCATCTTTCTCTTTTGGTCTAAAAGGTGTTAGTTTTTATGTTTTGATGATGTTTTACAACCACCATTATCGGTACTAATTGCTTATTGAGTGATAATGTAGTTAATATACATATCAAGCATGTTAGTACCACAAATGGAGGATTGGATGGAATATGCGCTACAACGATGATATCTAAAGGAGGAGGAGGCATAGTGATGAAGCAACGTTCATTCAAGAACACCAAATGCAATAAGAAGCTTCATCCAACTCAAGCTATATCAAGACTCAAAGAATTGTATTCTACGTGAGGATATTAGCTAGTTTTTATTTTTCTCTCTAGTGCTAAAATGTAGGTAAATAGTTTAGATTTTATCTGAAGCTATTGGGATATCACACACATTTTCATACATATAGTTTTGAGCGTTTTTCATAAAATACTATTTTTTTCACAAGTATGAGGACCTATTTGCAAAATTCCTTTTCCAAACAATTTGTTTTTAATATTAAAAATATTTTACAAAGTTTTATAATTTTCAGAAGTTAAAAGAATATTTTACAAATATTTTAAGTGAGTCAAAAACCTGTTTTTTGAGTGTATCAGTTTGCGATCGACCACCACGGTCGACCGCGCCTGAGTTCATTCGTCAGTGGGCAGCAGAGACTTTCACGGTCGACCGTGAGCTCGAAAATTTTCTCGGTCGACCGCCACGGTCGACCGCAGAAGTCTCTGGACTTTTCTGCGTTTCTGGGCTGTCTCGCGGTCGACCGCGAAAAAGTCACGGTCGACCGCCGCTTAATTTAAATGGTCATCTGGTACAGATTTTTAGCGCCGATTTCACACGATCTCAGCGCAGTTTTGTTTTCAGGTTTTGGGGGATTGGGTATGGGTTCAAACAGCTGTGGTTTTCTATTTAAACCTATACTCTTCTTCTTCGTCATTGTCCCAGCTCTTTCAAAATATTTCAGAGAACGCTTTTACAGAGCTTAATTTTCAAACCTGTTTCTTTTTGAGTTTTTGTGTTTCACATCCCAGCTTCAGTGTGATCTTCTCTTTGCCATAGAGACATTGTAAAGAGAGGGTTTTTACATGTTTCACATCCCAGCTTCAGTGTGATCTTCTCTTTGCCATAGAGACATTGTAAAGAGAGGGTTTTTACACCAATTTCTACTATTTTGAGAGCTTGATATTGTAGAGATCAATTGTGTGGGAGTGTGATCTAGTGAGATCAACTGTGTAGTGCGAGATCGTGAGGGGATCGCTGTGTAGAAGAAGTTCCGGTTTCCAAACCGGGTTGTGTAGTGGATTTCTCCTCGAGAGTGGGGAGCGGGGACGTAGGTCAGCGGATCGAACCTCGTTAATACATCGCGCGACACAGGATAACGATTCCTAACTCTATCTCCTCTATATTGATTGCTTCTGGATATTGTGTTTTGCTTGTCTTATTTTTTATTACACAATTATAGCATTGTGACCCTAATCAGCCCCCCTCTAGGGTCCAACAGAAGGATCCTTAGCAGGATTAAGTGACTTGACGACCATTGGGGTACTTAATGGATGTGCTTTATCCATGTAGAATTGTTGTAATACCTTCTGGATATAAGCAGTTTGGTGAACAAAAATCCCATTTTCTAAATGCTCAATTTGTAAACCAAGGCAAAATTTGGTTTTCCCAAAATCTTTGATCTCAAATTCTTTCTTTAAATATTCAATCGCCTTTTGGAGCTCTTCACGAGTTCTAATCAGAGTAAGGTCATCAACATATACAACAATGATCACAAAATTTGACCCATTCCTTTTTATGAAAACACATTGACATATAGGGTCATTTGTATAACCTTCTTTGACTAAACATTCACTAAGGCGGTTATACCACATTCGTCCAGATTGCTTGAGTCCATACAAAGATTTTTGCTACTTAATGGAGTACATTTCTCTAGGATTTGATTTACATGCTTCAGGCATGCTAAATCCTTCAAGGATTTACTTAATGGAGTACATTTCTCTAGGATTTGATTTACATGCTTCAGGCATGCTAAATCCTTCAAGGATTTTTATATAGATATCATTATCTAATGTTCCATATAAATAAGCAGTGACTACGTCCATCAGACGCATATCAAGTTTTTCATGTACTGCTAAACTCACAAGATATCTAAATATAATTCCATCCATTACTGGAGAATATGTCTCATCATAATCAAATCCCAGTCTTTGTGAAAATCCTTGGGCTACAAGTCTTGCTTTATATCTCATAATTTTATTTTTCGCATTTCTTTTACTCACAAATACCCATTTATATCCTACTGGCTCTACACCTTTAGATGTTTGGACTACAGATCCAAAAACTTTTCGTTTAGCCAGTGAATCTAATTCAGATTGGACCGCATCTTTCCATTTTGACTAATCATTTCTTCGCCGACATTCATCAACCGATCTGGGTCATGATCCTCGTCTTCTTCCATAATATCAAGTGCTACATTATATGCAAATGCATTATCGACAATTACTTCTCTTCGGTTCTAACTCTTTCTCGTAATGACAAAATTTATTAAATTTTCTATAGTTTCATTCTCTTCAGGAGTTGGCTCTTCAGGAGCGACCTCTTCAGGAGGTTGAATTTTTTCATTAGCAATATTTTGATCATTCAATCCTCTTTTCTTTCGGGGATTCTTACCTTTAGAACCAAGAGGTCTACCACGCTTGAGGCGTGCTTTAGATTCGTTAGCACTTTTAATTTGTCCTTCTGGGATATCAATTTTAATCAGAGTATTTTCTGCTGGAATATGGGATTTAGTAATTCTTCTAGAATCACTAAAAGCATCCAGTAATTGGTTTGCAATTTTCTATAAATGTATAATCCTTTGAACTTCCAGTTCACATTCTTTTGTACGAGGATCAAGAAAGTCTAATGATATTTTCTAAGTAATTTTCTTTTTTGGTTGATCTTTACCTCCCCCTAATGTCAGGAAATGTGATTCATCAAAATGATAATCTGCAAATCTTGCAGTAAATAAGTCACATGTTAATGGTTCAACATATTTAATTATAGAAGGTGATTCATACCTGTTCGCGTGGAAAACCGTAGCTTTCTTCATTAATGAGATAATTGTCATCTTGAGTTACAACTTTTTGAGTTACAAAAGATCCGGTCTTTTATAGATCCGGTTACAACTAAATCAAAGAAAATAAAGAAAAATTACAACTCTCCTCTGTGAACAAATCACGAGCTCCTGTTTTGCGGTCGCTCGCTTTGGTGGGTTCTTTGCCTGCGCCGGGGTTAATCCGTGGACCACCGCGCGATCTAGATCCGGTCGGATCTACACGAGTATGATAGCGCTGCGGTCGACCGCGAGATTGGCAGATGCCCAAATTTAGGTTTTTCTCTGCTTCGAAAATTGATCCAAACAATACATCTCTGCTTCCAAACGATATATCACATATTCTAACACATATGAATCATCATATAACAACATTTAGCATGTAGAAATCATCACTAAAAATCGTGAACATGTATACCCGTGTTTTAAACTTTATAAAACAATAAAAATCAGAAATTTAACTCTTAATAAAACATTTTCAGTT